TCACGCTTGCTCTTCTGGATTCCCTCGCAACATACTAACTTAGGGATGATCCTTACTGTCTCTACACTGGTGCAACTTTTCTAGCACGTTCATAGTGGGATATGTCCTTAAACCTTTAAGGCGTTACTACTACACCTCAATCAAATTTGAGTATACGCCACTCGTGCTTCCTGATACAGCGTCAGCGACGCTACTGGTACATTATACATGAAGGTCCCTCACCTTTTGCTTTCATCCTGGGCTGGGTGTACCACTGTGCAAATACCCTCGTGGCACTCATACTGCGATTTATCTGCCGCTCGCGGTTCAAACTGCAAATAATCAAAAGTCTAAAGTCTATTCACCGCAAACTATTATTTGTCGCACTCCGATACTGTCGTGGTCTTCACCTGGGTGATGAAGCCAGATATCGTGATCAAGGGTACTTCCACAATCTGCAAGGTTGGCAGCTCCCTGTTGCCTTCTCCCATGAGCAAGGTGAATGCCTCACTCCGTTCGCTCCTTCTTCACCATCATTGTCCATATTATCAACCAAAGTCCAAATAAAATTGTCACCATTAGTCAAAATAGCATAATACAAAACATCATATGCATATGGCAACCAATTGATTAATTCTATCGAATCAAATTCCTATCCAATCAATTGTCCAAACGAAACATAGAAAAATTAAATCAAAGTACGCCCAACTCAAGTCGCTTTCTAATCCTACTCTTATACAATATTTCATAGGCGGCACAGACTTATTTTATGACTAACAAAAATTTCTTTATACGGATATGAATCCTGCCTACCCATATCTACGGTAGATCATTTTCTCGCGATATCCAATATTGGGAGTTCAGACCCTTTCGCGACCTCTCCCTTTACTCTCGCGCCCTCCTTTTTTGGTATTCCCTACTTCTAATCTCATGCCCTATTGACATGATCTTCCATTTTTGCTATGAAACTAGCGGTTTATAAATCGTGGGACACGATTTACTGCACTTATCGAGCTCGCTCATAGATGAACGTGACTACTTCATCCGTGAATTTTCTGTAACAGACACTATGTGCCTGTTCCTAGCTGCACGTCTCAACTCATTCCATTTGGCTCTAACGCCTATACCTCGCTGTGGTAATGAGCTACCAATCGACCGCTTCTGTGACTCCTAGCCACAATTTCTCTCTATGACAGAAAGAATACAGCGTCCTCACATCATATTTCTCTGAGGCCAATGCCTCGCGGTAGCAATGGGTTACCAATCACCTGCGTCTGTGGCTCCTAGCCACAATCTCTCTCTATGATGAAGGGAATACAGCGTTCTCACACCATACTCCTCTGAGGCCAATGCCTCGCTGTAGCAATGCGCTACAAATCACCCGCTTCTGTGGCTCCTAGCCATACTCTCTCTATGAGAGAGGGGATACAGCGTCCTCGCATCATATTCCTCTGAGGCCAATGCCTCGCTGTAGCAATGGGTTAACAATCATCCGCTTCTGTGGCTCCTACCCACAATCTCTCTCTATGATGGAGGGAATATAGCGTCCTCACATCATATTCCTCTGAGGCCACTGCCTCGCTGTAACAACGGACTACCATTCACCTGCCTTTGTGGCGCCTAGCCACAATCTCTCTCTCTCTCCATGACGGAGGGGATACAGCGTCCTCGCATCATATTCCTCCAAGGCCAATGCCTCGTTGTAGCCCTTGGCTTCTCTCTCTATGATGGAGGGAATAAAGCGTCTTCATATCATATTCCTCTGAGGCCACTGCCTCCATATTGTTCTCTGTCGTCGCCTCTCTCTGCAGGGCGTACAGCCTACAAAGCTCCAACAACCTCTACCACCACATCGTGTGCGATAAAAACAAACGATACGACGGTAGGAATAGTATCCGTTTAGTGGGACTCCTACCCCCACGGTCGATACTTACCGGCAGTAGTATTCGAGCGCCCCTATCTGCAGAGCGTCTAAGCGCGTGCTACAAATAAATCTGCCCCAAAGATCCTGGTAATATACCAAAACAAATACTTTCCTCCAGAAATATAAGTAACCCAAATATGCCTAGCTTAGACTTTCAACCAAACAAACATAATTTGTACAAAACTGATACGCTTAGCAAAAATAAAACTTTTCCCGTTATTTAAAATTTAAATTACTTCAACATCTGATCAACTGACCACCCGTCTAATTACGTGTCTATCCACCCTTCAAAATATTTTTTCACATTTTCCTTTGAAAACCTTCCTATATAGCCCTTGTATCCCTAGTGGATACGTCACAGGTCCCCACACATTACGGTGGCATTTCTAGTGTCAAGTCCGTGCCCCTTTTTAGTCACTGGTCCTTTTCATTACTTGGAGCGTTAGTAAAAATATTGGAGAGAGTTCAACATTTTACAAAACATTACATAATAATACCATACAAATACCTACCTTTATTGCCTTCTTTGATGACCTGAAATGCAGCCTGAAGCAACTTTTTTTTGTAAACCAAACAAAAACCTACTTTTTCTTTCAATTATTTTCCAGACAGCAATGGTTTTTCTTTCCATGACGAGAACTAACTTTTTTTTATTAAAATTGTACCCCTTAAACATTTCACAACTATTCAAAGAACTACCTAGCTTATTTTATTCACTCTAGCTTCTACCCAAGGCTCACTTAAAATCCTCTGGCCCCTGTACTGAATCAATTAGCACTGTAAAACAAATGGGCAAAATAAAATCCACCCTGAACTTCTCCTAACACAATGTCACGTATTTTGAAGTTATTTGCCAATGCTGTTGGGGCACACAAATGTTATAAAAATTTAACTATTCAAAGCCACAGAGAACTCTTTCGCTTTCTAATTTTTTAGTATTTTAAAATAGTTTAAAAGTAGACTTTCAAACCCAAAGTGGTTAAACACAACACTAGGACACTCAATGTCATTTACAATTGTATAGTCAACTTATTTAACATGCGCTACTCAACTCAATAAAATCATTTCTCCCTTTGAAACCTATCGGACATACCCAGTATGTGTCGCTCACACAAAGTTATTTATATCTCTATAAATTATTACCTCCTGCAAGTATTAACTTTACACTTCCACCTATTTCAACGAAAAACTCAGGTTATTCAAAATATTTAACTTTGCTCGCTTAAGCTCCTACTTTACCATTACTATTTTCCGTCGGCAAACGCTACAATTTAATTTACCTTATTCCTCCTCCCTAACGCCAACTTTAGACAATAAACTCCCTGTGGCTACTTGAAGTTTCAATTTCTTCAGACTGCCTGGACACTAGAAATTCTTTTTTTTTCTGTAAAACCTAGCTATGAATTATATTTTAATCCACTTCACAAACTAATAAGAATGCAGATACTTCCAAAATACAAACCGAAAATGCATTGTGTTATTTAATTAACCACTGCTTCTTCACTAACTACATTGTCCACCATCTATTCGACACAGAATCCTAGTTATTTAAAAAAAAATATTTTACCTCTCAGTTGACCAATGTGATCAGATTCCCAGACACAATAAATCATCTATTTATCCACACCGATGTCAACAGTGTAATAAAAGGAACTTTCTAGCTCGTTTCTCCTTTATTCATATAGTTGATCTACACACCTCTGTGATTAGTTCATTTCGAAATCAATTGCTTTTTTAATACGCATTTATTGGCTTCACCTGTATGTGTATGTATGTATGTATGTTTGCCCATACTTACGCATACTTAGGCAGCGCCTGCTGCCTTGGGCTTGGTAGCTGATTTTCAGACTCCCTCTCCGGAATCGAAAAATATCAATGGTCGTTTTTCTAAACAAAATATGGCTGATTGATTCCAAAGTTTAGATAAAATGAATGTAGTTCAAAAAGACTAAAAACACGCTTTCATAGCATACGGAACTGAAAAATGAAAAATATAGTTTAAAATACTAAAAAAAAAATATATTTTTTCAAATGAGCTTGAAACAATAACGAACGAAGAACTAATATTATTGTTGAAAAAGCGTGGGCGCTTTGTGCCATATTTTTTGTATGTCAAGGGCCTGTCGCTTTTCTCACAATAATACTAGTATTTTTCGTTCGTTATTGTTTAAAGCTTATAAAAAAATTATTTTTAACTTTTCAGTTCGGTGTTCTTCAAAAGCGTATTTTTTACTTTTTCAATCTATATTTATTTCATTGGAAGTTTTCCACCCTTTATGTTTGAGAAATTATGCAATATTGACAATTGATGAACGAGCCACTTTGATTCATACAAGAAGTATATTACTTTGTCGACTCTGTATAGGCTGAATATCACCAAAACTGAAAGATATGGTATATGGACATTTACGCTTGTGACGGAATCACACATCAAAAATATTTAATGACAAAACTTTGTTATCTGCAAGTTCGTTCAAGAGTACTTCAATTTTTGGGTTTTCACAGATTTTATAGCAAAAATTTATCATATTTTTTACAAGAGATTCATTTTACATATCATAAATGTGGTTGATCAAAGTTTCACCTGTTTTTCGTATAGTAATATTTTCCAACAAATTTTTGACATGATTTTTTGAAATTATATAACTTCATCATTTACGAATATATTGTGCAGAGCTGAAGAAAAATACGCTTTGGGAACGGAAATATATAAGTTTGTGGGAAGAATGGTACGGAGTTCAATTTCACATAAATATAATCTACAGTACTAACCTCTAGAACAAAATTATGAGTTAACGGTAGTGCTAGAGAATCCTTATGAAGAAGTTTGATACTGTAATATGGACTTTTTCCTTAATTGAAAAGGGTATATTTATAGGAGTGAATGATTATTTGAGGAAGAAAGGTTTTGGCTTTCTACTACTCTGTCCTTGATATTTCACGTTATATTTAGTGAATGTTATGTTCCAAAAAATGTTTTGAAAAATTCACCATCTGTAGTGACCAAATGAGTATTCCACAAAAATTCCAAAGTAGAGAACTTTCACTGTTCCTGTCCAGAGGAATGCAAAAATATTAACTTCTGTTTTTTTTTCAGGATATGCAGCATCGCATATTGTTCCAAAGTTTACTGATATGCGTCATAACAGTATGTTTGTCCTTTCCGCTGCAGAAGTCCATAGATGCCAAATCAATAAAAGATGAGGTAAAAACTTTTTTCAATCATAAAATTTTTTCAGAAAATTCATATTGGATATAAGTGACAATTTTGATATCACTCATATTTTTCATCAATAATAATTGTGTTTCTGAATTCATCAATTTTGAAATTCTTGCAACAAAAAGAAATGTTCTAATATCAATTCACGATACTGCCATTACTGAAAATGCAAATTATGTACCAATCCAATTTCACATTTCGATTGATTCCCTTATAGTGTATTCATGTCATTTCTAGAAGTGAAAGCTACATGTGAATGAAGAAAGCATGATTGCAAGGAATTATTTGAAAATCTATGAATTCTTTGACATTAATGAAACATTCGATTATTGATATTGATTTTTGTTTTATAATTGACTAGTGGACCCGGCGAACCTCGTTCCGCCTAACACTCAAATGATGAGCAATTTTAGGATTTTAAAATTGATAAAAACGCATTTAGTATAATGAAATGAATGGTATTGATATATAATAAAATGAATTGGGAATGGTAGTAAGAGTGATCTCTTCAGTAAAGCACCCTGTGATATACATGTGAGCTGTCAGTTGCGTTTTATTATAACACGTCACTATTATCACTGATGTTTTGCCTCTTTTATTATCATTATTTTTATTGATAGAATATCATATTTTAATACTTATTATCTGACGAAGACAAATCCACAAACACAAAATTCTTAAAAATGAGTCCAGCCGTTCTTGAGTTCTTTCATTATAATAACAATAATCATTATTGGTGAAGTATCATATTTTAATACTCATTATCCTATTCTCGATGAAGACAAATCCAAAAACACAAAAATATTCAAAATTGGTCCATCCAATCTTGAGTTCTTCATTATCATCATTATTATTATTATAAATATTTTTTTTATTCCCGACGAAGACAAAACCAAAAAGACAGAAAACATAAAAATTGTTCCAGCTGTTCTTGCGTTATTTTATTATTATTATTTCATTGATGAAATATCATTATCATTATCAACCGACGACCACCCCCACACCATGTGGCAAGTATTATTATTTTTATTATTATTTTGTTTTTACCGAAGTATGCGCTGGTCGGGCCCTATCGCCCAAATCCCCGATACATTTGGGAGGGCGCGCCAACATTATCAACCAATGACCACTCCCCACACCATGGGGTAAGTGATCTTTGGTTCCGAAAATCATGTACCCTGAGCAAGCGCACTGAACCAAGAATGACAGCCTTCTGCATCTGTCTGGATGAGATTTCTGCCTCAGTGCGGCAGGCCGGTATGATTTTAAGATTCGAGAATGGAGAGGACATCATTCCACCAAATCCAATAATGAGAACAACCATCTTGACAGAGTGATCTATATAGAGTATGCGGAGTTCGAAGAGAAAATCTCGATATTTTATCCGTTTTACCTCCTCTTTCCGGACGATATTTGTCTTGCCAGGAGCTGAAAATTCCACGACAAATATTGTCTTTTTCTGGTGGTCGAGAAGGACTACATCAGGCTCATTAGCTTGTATGAGACTGAGGATGTGAAACGAATAGTTCCAATAAATTCGGCACTCCTCGTTCCCCACAACGGATTCAATATCCCCCGGACCAACGGGCAACACCAGTTTCCCGTCAATACCGTAAGAGTGCCGTTGATGGTAGTATAAAACTCTTTTTGGGGCCGCTTTATGTCGATGGATGTAGGCCGAGACCGCATATGCTGAACATGCTGATAGCAAGTGCATTAGGGTCTCGGGCACCTCGCAACAGGCCCTGCACCTTGTGTCAGGAACCTCTATACCCATCACGCGACTGCGGTAGACTAAGGTGTGGAAGACACCATCCTGGCAAGCCATGATGAACCTCTCAGTTTCCGACTCCAGCCCACTAGATCTGAGGAAATCAAAAGTCAGGCGCTTTGATAATACAAGGTCTCCAATGTTATTGAATAAGAACCCATGCATTGGCTCATGCTTGTGTTTCCGTAGAAGTTAGGTCATCTCTGTGGCTTATATATGAGCTTTTTCCTGAACAGGTTTCAACTAGGTGACAGAGTTGTGATTAGATTAGATTAGATTAGATTTCTTTATTTCCTTCATTATGACGAACATTTACATTTCATATAGGAATTGTCAAAGCACATACACATATTCAATATAAAACAAGTAAATAAATAAATACGAGGTGAAACAAATACAAATATTCAGATAAAATATGAGTAATCATGAGGCAAAAAGATTAAAATATTCATTCAGTGTATAAAAACAATGGTCGAACAAAAACGACTTCAGTCTATTTCTGAATTTCGTTGGGTTTTTTTGGTGGTTTTTATTATATTTGGTAATTGATTGAAAATTTTAGGTCCCATCAATTCAGGAGAATTTTGAGTAATTTTATATTTAGGGGTCTTAGTGTATATTAGTCCCTTTTGACGTGTATCAAAATTATGGATATCACTTTCCAGGGTGAAATCGGTTTTGTTCGTAAACACATAGACGCATAACTCAAAAATATATACACACACTAGAGTTAAAAGTTTATATCTGAGAAATATTAAATATACATCGAAGTATTGCTTTTTGTGCAATAAAAACATTCTTGCTCATTGTTCTCACCTCGTTCAGTGAAGGAAAACTAAACCGAGTTCATCAGCTGCTCGGGCAGCTGCCCTCAAGAGAAATGCTCCAATTCCTGCTCTCTCATGGATACGGACCATGCAGAGAAGGGGATCCGAACTCCTAACGACTTTATAGGCTATTATATCCAGTACCATTCTGTCATGTAGACACTTCAAACTCCCTGTTATGGGGGAAAGTACAACCGTGGAACGGACGATTTGGGATGCAAACTCCTATAGAGATACATCATTTTTTGGGTGTTTACGTCGAGTTGATACAGCCCCTCGCGAGTCCACCTCACAAATCACGGAATGCATCCGTATAAATTTACCAAAGTTCAAGCTCTGAAAGCAGAAGACTTCGAACAAAGAATGCATTTTTGTGAATCCCTTTTGATTCATACACAGGAAGATCGGGAATTTTTGTCAAAAATAATTTGGATAGACGAATCAAAATTTACGAGGGATGGTATTTTCAATAGAAGGAATAAACATTTTTGGGCTGATCATAATCCTCATGTTACAAAAGAAATGGGTTTTGAAAGAAAAATTTGACCAGAATGTTTTCTGTATTCTGAAGAACAATAAAATCAGCTCTTTTATTTATGAAGACACACTGAATGCAGAGCGATATCTCCAAATATTGAGGACGACTGTAACCGATTTTCTTGAAAATTTGCCTTTAGAGGAATATAGTTATTCGTGGTTTTGATTGATGCTCCAAATTTCAGAATTGATAACACATAGATGATAGATGGTATATGCTGGATCCACCCGGCATCGTCCAGTGAGATACCATTGCAACGTCTCAGGCAGCGTAAAGTTCCTTTCGGGCTAACGTTTCGTTGCTGTGTCGGCTGTTTCCGGTTTCAGAGGTATGAACATAAGAAAAAATTGCATAATGGCGCTCCTAGGGTCTTCATACTCTGAATGTGAAATAGATCCCCAATTCGGGTGAGGGCTAATTTGAGGGCATTATCCTGCAGAAGTTATCCGAAAACCACTATTTCTGACAGTCAGCAGGGTCCTTCTAACATCAGTCCATCATGATACTTGCAATTGCAAAGAGACCCACTAATAACTTCAAAATCATTTCTGCGACATTCGAGGACTCAACTCAAATATAAACTCAGTGCAAAATCATCTGCAAACAAATAGTCCTCATATTTCTTCACTTGAGAAACCAAAGTTAGTGCTTCAATAAATCCCGTCAATTTTTTATATCCCGGCTATGATTGCCACTGCCAATTCAGACGTAACATTTTTATTCGAAACGATATCTCCTGTCAACGAGAGGAAATGCTAGAACTTTGGTGTTTTGTGGATTAAAATAATATCACAGAAGTTCATTAAATTTATATGCCGCGTTTATCGATCACCAAGCGATACACAATATACGGCACTACTTTCTTGACTTGCCAACATCATTTACTTTCTGCAAATGAATCATGTGCCAAAATGTCCATATTCGGTGACTTCAATATCCACAATATCGAATGGCTCAAATTTTCGAATGATTATCAACGACGAAGATAAGGTATTTCCAATAAGCAACAAACTCACTCAGATAATGAGCTAACCAGGATTCCTTCCCGTGATGGAGAATGTGCTAGTCTGCTGGATCTATACCTAACAACTGATCCATAAATTCACACAGTCACTGTAAGGTCTCCATTGGGATATTTTGACCAAAAAAAAAAACTCATTTCAGTGTTGAGGTTATTGCGGATAAATGTTGGGAAACAATTCAAACCGCGCAAAGGATGGCAGTACAGATATGCTGATTGGGAGGATCTTCAAGACCTTTATCGAAATTACCCCTGGCTGTATGTTTGTTTCAGCTTTGATGATCCATCAACTTGTGCTTTTGAAGTCATGGGAGTTATTCTATCATCAATGGATATACAGGGTGTAACATAAGTACGTTAAAATATTCAAGTGACGTATTCCTGAGACAATAAAAAAAAAAGTCTATATGAACTTGTGTCCGAAAATGCTTCGTTTCGGAGACACGGGGAGTTGAAATTGAATTTTTTTGTTCGCTTTCTGAAAATAACTCTTGCAAATAAAAATATATTTGCACGAAATTCTGTACCTGGGGTTTTTTTGACGCGGGAAATCATAATCTCGTATTAATGTTCATGTAAAATCCAGAGGGCACTGCGTACGCTGTCATTATGTATTTCAATTTGCCGTTACTTTTTGATAGTAAACTTTTGGTATTCTTCATGAAAAAACCTAATTCCCACACCTTTTCCAAGTAAAAAAGGTACACCTCCTCAACAATGCTGGAGGTGATCGTTTTCGAGATATTTACAATTTTCTATATCGATGCATTTTACTTTATAGCCAAATTTGATCTCAATAATTTTTGTCACTCTCCGCTTGCATATTAA